TTATACTATTCAGATAAATCTTACTTGTTTCTTCAAAAACAAAATATTTTTTTAAATCACTCTGATTCGCTGTAGCTTTGTCGAACATTTCTAATTTTCTTAGTTTTTTATCCTCTTCCAAAGAAAATCAAGATCCACTATGATATATCATCTTGGATCTTACGATCTTGTTGAACTTCAACGAATACGATAGTCAATTCATTGGAATTTATGAAGACTCGTTAGAACTTACTGAACTTCATCAGAGTTCAGGGCCCATTATTTCTCTAAAAAGATTTCAAAGTCATGTCTTGAGTATTAAGAAGAAATAATATTACTTTTCCAGTGTGTTTTCCAACCATAAATTCTTGGCTTTTAATAATTTTACTCAGTCTGTTCATATTGCTGACAGTCATTGAAGATTCTGTCATATTCTACTATAATTTGTCGGATTTCTTCAGATTTTTGTGAATGTTGGTGAATTCTATGGTGATTATTAAAGTTCAATAGAATACATGAGGACTTTCTATGTATCCCTTTCTATTCTCTAAATACAACATAAAATAAATTATGTTGAAAATTAATTTGAAGTGAAGACGGTAAAGACTCTTTAAGACTATGTCATTTTATCTGAATAACCAACACTGCTAGCGGAAAGAGTATTTATGATTTTGAGTGACCTTGAAGTACACAGCGCTTTACAAAATTAGTATTATTGCACAGATGTTAAAACTTCTGTAAAAATATAAAAACCTTTTTCATGACAAAGTACAATAAGAAACGAAACGAAACGAAACGAAACTTATCTATTTATGAATGCGTTATATAAGAAAAAAAAGAAGGAAATTCTATGTGACAAGAATTTCGTCACATTCCACTCAGATCTTTGTTTTCATGTCTATCAAATACCATTGCAGTGTGTATAATAATAAATAGTTATTATTAGAATATGCATTCTTCCATTTCGAAAGATGGAACATTTTAATGGTGTTGAAGAAAACAAATCAGTTGAAACATATTTGAACTCGTTGAAAAACTGAAAATGAACGAGCTAATGATTCACGTAGTAAAACTAACTGAAGAAAAAAACGAACACAGAACTTGGAAGACATTAAAAACAGTCAAAACTATGGATAAAAATGATAAAAACGCGTAAGAATAAAAACAAACTACTCGCTTTAACTCGCTAGAAAATTCGTCAAACAGTGTTATAACAAAATCTTCACATATTTAGACGCGTTGTTTTAGAGCTCTTGTCTACCTGTCTCGTTTGGCTTACTATCATAAATAAATATAGTTCTCGATCTACATGAATTTAGGTGCATGTTCTACCAACCAACACAGGTTACTGCCCCGCGAACTTTTCGAATCATCTATATGATTTTGAATAATATTTACTACGAATTTTTTAATATTTAATGCTGATGGAAAATTTTTTGGATGTGTCTTAGACCACTTTGAAAGTTTTGGTTAAATCCACTGATCCTTTGTAACAATATTAAACTTAAAAGAACTACAATTTTATAATAACTATCTTAATTTGGCTAATAATATTAAAAAATTTGATTAGAAACGAGACGCAACACTATATCATGCGAACAAGGAGATAGCGATTAATAGTAAGCGTTATTTGTATCAAGGATAGTATAAAATGAGAGAACATGTAAAAACATAGAGGAACAACATCATGCACTCTTTTATGATGCGATGAAGAAGATTCAAATTTTTTTTTTTGTTTTTGTGTTTTATTGTAACACTCTGAAGTGCTTACATGAGGTGTTAAAAGAGAAAAAAAAATAGAAAAAGGGGGAAAAGACTGAGGAAAGGTACCAGAACACAAGAAAAAAAAATACAAAAGAAAAAAGAAAGAGAGAAGAAAAAACCAAGGAAGAGGGACAAGTGCAAGGTCACCGTGATTCTTATTATCACAGCTGATGTTTCCCTCCACTGCTGCATTCTTTTCCTCCTTTGTCCTAATGTTATATACAATCATACGGTGAGGGGAGGGAATAGTAATTGGCCTTCACTGCTCCACGAAATAAATCCATTCGATTAAGAGTGTTTTGTGTCTGTTAATTAGTTTATTCACTCTGTTCATTCTGAAAAATTGACCTAGTGAGTCATTCTTCATTTTCCTAAAGTGATCCCAGTAAAATATATCCTCAAGAAACGGCGAATGACCTAAATCTGACTTGTACATATTCTCCAATCTTTTCTTTATGTATCTCTGAACGTATGATTTAAGTGGTTTCTCCTTTGTTACTGTAAATAGATCCTCTGCCTTTACATATGGGCATCTATGTACTATTCTGATACCCACACGGGATTTCCTGTCCAAAGCTCCTCTGCGTCTTTGGGAGAAAGGGATAGAAGGGAAAAATCCACGCTAAATGTGGAAAGACATATGCAAACAAACATTGTCTTAAGACCTGAACAGAGGCTTTTCTACCTCTTTTCAACCACTTCAATTTCACCAGAGCGTTTCCGATTTTCTCGAGACATTGATCTACCGTAGGTTTAAGTGACAGCTTATTCATCCATGTGAATCCTAAATATTTAAAAGCATTCACTATCTCTAATTTTTTCTCTTGCATGAAAACATTTATTTTCGGTTGTTCTATTTGCGTATAGAACACCTGTCCAACCGTCTTCTGTACATTGATAGGCTGCTTCCATTCCTTAGCATACTCTACTATTCTACTGCAGACCTTCGAACCATCTCTTTCGAGAAACTCAATGGCTGAAGCCAGGTTCCTCGTAATGGGGGCCTTTACTAGTATACTTAAGTCATCCGCGTAGATATGTCCTGAGTGTGCGCCTGCACAGTGAATTAAATCACTGTGGTAGACGATAAACAGGTACGGGCTAAGGCTACTTCCTTGTGGTAATCCAATATCTATCTGAAAGCTATCCGATCTTTCCTCTCCAAAGGCGATATATGCCTGCCGGTTCCTTAACCACGATAAGCACATTTTCAACAATTCCGGGGGCATTCCTAATCTAAGTAACTTTACCATCAGTCCGGCATGCCATACGATGTCATATGCCTTTTAAAAATCTACGTACAGAGCAAAGATTGGCATATTTGCCGCTAGACTGTTTTTAATCTCCTGGTAAATCGAGAGAACTCTTGTACTTAAGAGACCTCCTGGTCTAAAACCTGATTGTTCGGCAGGAACTAAATGGGCTCCTTCCGCCCACTTTCTGACTCTTTCAAGAAACACTTTTTCGAATAATTTCGAATGGGTTGGCAGGAGGGAGATTGGTCGCGTCTGGTCGGTTCTCGGTACACCAGCTTTCAACTTGGTTCAGGGTAACAAATTTCGCTATTTTCCAGAAATCTGGGCACTGGCCCCTCTTTAGCCAGACATTGAAGCACTTCACTAAGCATTGTACATAACCTGGTGGGAGTATCTTGATCATATAGTTCGATACTTCATCGTATCCGGATGATTTCTTATTTTTCAATTTCTTTATTAATTTTAGCATTTCTGGTACTGAGATTGGGTCTAGACCGAGTTTAGTGGCTGAGGCTACATTATTCACTATTTGGTTGTACTCATACTCTATTTGACGATCATGACGATCGTTTTCATCTATAAGGGGAGGCTTCGCTTGTTCCTTATAATAATCATATAGCGTTCTCGTTATCTCTTGATGATCCGATATGATTTTTAAACCTGTTGACAACTTCGATAGAGGGAGTGTTTTCGGTTTGTAAATCCTCGACAAATGAGACCAGAAAGCATTTCCTCGACAGTCATGTGCCTCCTGTATAGTAGAAAGAAAGCTACTCCAACAATTCGATCTATATTTAATAATATCATTCTTAACGAACCTGGTCATTACTCTTAAATTAATTCTGTTTTCTTCATCACCTATTCCTCCATTTATTTTCCTTTCTCTATAATATCTATTTCGCACTTTGCGAACTTCCTTTAGCATCTGTACTATGTACGACGGCAAGGTCGGGCGATATTTATCTCTGTTCTTCCACTTAGTTACTCTATTCTTCAATGCAGCTAGAAATCGTACATAGTTACGATACCAATTATCAGAGTCTTGCCTATCTGATTCTTTTATCCAAAATTCTTGTAGTAGTCCTAACACTACTTCGAAAACCTTCCAATTTACTGTTGGAAATTGTCCACTTGTTTGGAATCCTATCTGCTCACTCTTCAATACTATAGGCCAATGATCACTTGATCCAGTTTGCCAAGTTTCTGCTTTAGTGTCTAGCACGTTCGTAAAGATCAGGTCAATATGTCGGGCTGAACGTTTTGACGAATTTTTTGTTCCGGGTATGAAAATCAGATCCCATTTATCTATCCATTTTTTCAACTGAGCTCCTCTTGCATCGGTAGACGGACTATCCCACTCTTGAACCGAAGCATTAAAATCTCCAGTCAAAATCGTTCTTTCTGTCATATATGGTGTTAATTCATTCAAGTTTCGATGTTGACAATGGGGCCAATAAATACCGATTATTCTAACTTGTTCAGACAGTCCAACAATGTCCACTATCACAGTATTATCTATGTTAATATCAACTCGTGTAGCTTTAAGGTGTTTTCCTACCGCTACAATAACTCCTCCTTTATTGTTTGTGCCTTTTTGATAGAAAGTGTCAAAATGGGGTATCGTGAAACTATTCCACAATTCTCCAACTTCTGTGAAAATACAGATTGAGCTGTCTGTCTTATAGATTAATTCAATTGCTTCAAGGGCTCTTGTTCCCCATCCTTGTACATTGTACGTGATGACATTTAAAGGACTTCGATGACAAGATGAGGGGGGCTTTTTCTTTTCCCAAAGACTAAGAACACCATTCAGTGTATTGCCTGAGTACCATTCATTAATAATCTCGGTGATGTATTGGACAAGGCTGGAAGGAAAACCCCAGTCTATGACTTTTTGAATCACGGTACCTTTTACATCGGCAGGGAAAAAAGGGGTACGTAGGGTCTGAGGAAATAAAAAAGGGGGGAGCATGTACGTTTAAAAAAGGGGGAGTACTTTTATTAGTCATCTACTGATACCATTGATTGTTCTTCTTCCATTTGAACGTTATTTTCTTTAATACTTGCTGTTGTTGTTGGTTTAGTTGTTTTATTTGGATTGCGAGATGGAGATGTTGGTGTTGAATTTTGTTGTTGTTGAGAGGGGACTGCATTGAACTTCTCTATAATGTCGTCTTTAAATTCTTCAATTTGATGGGCCAATTTTTGTAGTTGTTGTTTGTTTTTCTTTTCTAACATTGCAGTGATGGTCTGTTGCATAATATTTACTAAACCAATTATACCTTGTTTATTAATCGACGATCTTTTATCTAATATATCCAATTTCATAACTTGATTATCAATTTTGGATTCCATTCGACGTATTATATCTAAAACATTTAATTTGTGTTATGAGTTCACTTAACTGATTTGTTCCAAAATGATTTTGAGGTTCACTTGATGGTACACCTCCCCACACCGCATGTTTAACATTTGTTTGTTGTAGTGCTGGAAAATCTAATTCTTCACGATGTACTATACCGGATTTCTCAGTTACTTCCACCTGATGTAACCAACCACCTTTAACAGCATTATCTACTTCATCTTTTAATGCATTACGATAGTCTTTAACCACCAGACAATCCATACTAAGAGACGAGTGTGGACCTTGACATTGAGCACATAATACTGGTTTTTGGCATTTATGATTACAATCCCATGCATCCAAACATTTTCGACCACGTGGACTTACTTTACAATGTGGACGAATATGACCTAGTTCCCAGCAGTTGGTACAATAAGTCATTTTGAGACCTGTTATAAAAGCAGTAACTGGAAGCAGTATATGACCTATTGCTAAACGACCAATACTAATTATTTCATCATATTCATTTTCATCGGTAACACAAAATCTATAATCATTAGTTGATCGAGGATGATGATAATTAATCTTTGAGAATGATACTGTTGATTTAAGTGATTTAACTATTTCTTTAAATACAAATTCATTTGATAATTCAGCAGGTACATACCGTAATACTAAAGCACAACAATCCGGTAGTACCCGTGGACGTTCTATTTCTATTTTAATGTTGTTCATATCATTTGGCCAGTTACAATTCCATAGCATTAGAAAATCTTTTTTTCTTGTAACACCAAACTTGTATCTATTTTTACCAGCAGGGATTAACAGGGAAAAATCACCAATTGACTGTGATGATTGTTGTTGAACTACTTGTCGAATCCAATTGGCGACCTTCATCGCTGATGGAAGTTGCTGTTGAGCTGTATCAATGTCAAGACTAAATTTAATATAAAAACATGGTAAATTATTAGATACAGCATGTTTAAGGTGAAACGGTGGAAACCGAAATTGACGTTCTGTTGATGATGATGATGTGAACTTGGTCGAGAGACTTGTTGGTGTTGGTTCATGTGGACGAGGTTTTTTTGTATGTCTTCGAAATTGATTTTCTGGAGAATTACTATCATCAAGTGGTCGTCGTGGTGTTGAAGAAGTTTTATTATGTAATGGTGCATTTTGATTGTCAAATGATGTTTTTGTTGAATGAATATTAACTAGCTGTTGCTTTTGTTGAGTGAAGGACGAAATGATTGGCTTGTCCATTAATCGAGATAGATGACGTGTTGTTTGCTGTGGTGGACAGGGAGAAGGAATGGATGAAGAAAGTGTATGATGAGTCACCATTTTATTTCTTTATTCACATACTTGTAAGTCTAATTGTTGTTTCTTGTAAATTTCCGTCATAAAATGAATAAATTGAGTATCATATTTCATTTGATTCTGCCAATAATGAAAATCCGACTGATCATTTATTGTTCTAAATCGATCAGAAGGTTCTTGTTCCGTGGCCATGGGCCAGAGCAAGGAACCAGTAATTGGATATAGATATAGATATAGAGTGAACGAAAGAAAATATAGTAAGAAACGAAAAGAGAAAATACGTCTTATCGCTATCAGTGAAAATTTGGAAGAGTCGAATATGTGAGAAGATTCAAATTTTGATAAATGCATTAGTACGTTTATCATCGTATCATCAATTGAAATCCGATGACAATAATAACGAAAAAAGAGTATCACGAAAAGAAAACGATGCTTCAAAAACAAACTAAGAGTTCACATTTGCCGATATTCCAGCATGCCTCTTTTTCATTCTTTTTAAGAAAAGAATAAAGATTTTTAAGAAAAATAGGCGATAGTGTTGATCAACTGTAATAAATCAATACTTTTTGAAACAATAAGGTAAATGAAAAGATACAAAATTTTTATTGGACACATACGACGAAAATCAGATAGGCATGAATTTCAATTCGAAACAATTTTAGTGTTTTGACTGGGTATTTGATAAGATTAGGTAAAATCGACATTATTTGGGTACACAAGCATGAAAAAGATAAGTAGCGGTAAGACCATTTTTCATTTCTCAACATTTTCAAAATAAAATTATATGATTAGAATCAGCATTAAATTCCGATTATAGTACATCATGTTATTTTTTGACTGTGGTCTCACACGAGAACTTAAAATAAATTATCTTTTCTTATAGATTTTGATGACTCATAGGTTATCGATACTGTGAATCTCGAATATCATATTTATGTTGCCTTAACGTACTAAAGAAGATTCAGAAACGGTGAAGACGACTTAAAGCTCGTTCTCATGATAGTTTCCAGCAGTTTGGGAAAATACTCATAGTTATGAGTATTTTTGCTATTCACACAATTTGGTATGAAGCAAATGATTTAAATGACTTTAAAATAGTGTAAATCATAATAATCATCCTAAGTTATGTAAATCATTCAATTCAAAAAGTCATTTAAGTCATAAGTCAGTCGTTTTCTCTCTGATTTTATAGCATCTCATCATCTTATACCGCATCAATTATACTCCGTAATGCCTTTTTCAACAGTCTTTCATGTGATATAGAATTCACTTTTATTTCTCTTGTCTATTGAACTATACCCCTTGCAAAATCTTTTTCGACAACTTTACAGAATTAAATCGCCTTCAATGTCCTAATTTTTACAAGTCAAATCATGCGCATCTGTTTATCTTGATTTTTATTCAAAATTCTCTTTTTATACAAATTATTGTTAAACATTATTAATAAAAACAAAGATGTGATTATATTGACGGTGAAACTCTTAGACCCATGAAGGCTCAAATATTTGAAAAGATTTTACAGATCTCATTCATAGTTTATAGTTTGTTCGCGAGATCTCTGTGAACAAGAGTTTTCAAGTGTTTTTCTGAAGAGTACATATTGACTCATTACTATCCGTCGCACGTTGATAGAGAAGAACAGTTAACACATTGACAAGGCTTTGGAATCATAAACAAACAGAAATAGTTTTGACAGACATCATGCAGGCTATACAGTGTCAAATCACATCTTTTTCTAAAATAAAACGGATGCAATTGTTAATAATCATACAGTCAGTTCAACTATATTATCAATTCATTGAATTGGTGAGATTAAAATTCACCGTTTATAACAACAAACGAACATATTTGCTAATCATTTTTCGATTATTAACTTTAAAATTAATTTTAGTAAAAAGAAAATTCCAAATATGAAAATTATCTGTAATATTTTCAATGTACAAGCAGTTGGAAAGGGTATACTCTGTGAATTCTGTACACTAATATCTTTATTTTTCACAGTGCTAGTAACAACAACTAAGGATAAAAGCAGTTTTAATATGCTGAATCGAATAAAGCCATTTACGATCGAGCATGACACAACGACATTGAAAGCATGTTTCTTACTCCTCATATTCATAAAGAAAAATAAGACAAATTGAACTTGAACACTATCTTCTCTGATATTATTGAAAAGGAAAATAATAAAAAAGTTTTTTTAACCATCAATAGACCTCTTTAGTTCTGGTACGTGCTAATTATGCAGTAGAAAAGTTTATTTTCCACGAAAGTTTTTTAATTATTTTCCCAGTATTGAAACTTGTGAGTGCAGAAATACGTTTGAAATAGGGTGAGATGGATAGTTCAAAATAAACAGTTCAAATCCATTAACATCCTATTACACCATTCCAAGGGGGCATTTCATGAGAATCCCGGAAATTCCGTGAGAATCCTAAGAATTCGGTGGAAATCCCATGAATACTTGATGTAGATCTCTGAACAACACTAAAATTATAACTCATGCCCATGCATAACAAATCCCACTTCATTCATTTAATGTTTTAAAACCCATTCCTTTAAGAGAACAATGTAGAGATATGGAAAATAAGTCATTTTTTTAAATGAGACATTAAACTCCTTTCACAATGTGTGCACCAAAAGCCAAATAATAACCAATATCGTGACAGTCTTGACAAAATACAGGAGTTTCTAATTGTGATAGAGAGTATAACGAAATAGTTTCGATTGAAAATAAGTCGAAAGCTGGATATGATGAAACATCAAACTTTAACGAGTCGAATATCACCTGTCAGAAGCAAAACTATTTACAACTTAATGGTATTCGTCGGTCGTACTTCAGATTTTATGACAATTATTAGTCACTTGTTATTAGGTTTCACGCGTTATGCAGAACACTATGATAAAGTCTTTTCATAATGGTATAGTATGAAAAAGAGCAACTGCCAGTTTTAGACGTATCATATATTTAATTTCCAACTGCTCTTGACATTAATGTTCACAGTGTAGGAATGAATTTTTTTTAGTATTTCCTTGACATCATTCTATCTTTGGCTAAATAAACAACAGACAAACACTTAGTCAATTTCTCTGGTTCGGTGAAGATTTCGAATAATAATGTAGCCGCTGATTTTGAGATAGGGATGCACCAGTTCTAGTGCTGACCAGTCAACTCCGTATCTAGATAGACTAGTACATCCCTATCTTGAGAAAATTCATCATTCAGAGACGACATACATTTATTCGAGCTTATAACACAGGGTATTGATAGTCAGACGAATCGTATCAAACTATTTATTGATAAGATTGTATTGTTAACTAGTAACATTTTTATGGCCTATCTTCTGATTCGATTTCAGATGTTGGTCTACGGAAAGTATCTCACCCTGTATCATAAGATGAAAAATCAAATTGATTTCTGTATTCTTCCAGAAGTATATTTCAGTGAATTGTAGGATTGAACGAGTTCAGAAGTTCTGTGTTGAGATCCGCGGCTGAACCCATTGATCTTTTTCGACTTCTAAATATAATTTAGATAAGACTATATTCCTTTTGTAGCTGTTTCCTCAACGAATGCATCTACTGCAGATTATTTCATGCGATAGTGATGGAGAGAGCTCATCAGACGAAAGATTTAGGGTTCATATATGGTCTACAATCAGTATGTTCTACAGTGCTTTTTCTTTCGATTTTTAAAAACTTCACAAACTATGATGTAAAGATATAGTTCCGACAATGTTGCAATGAATCTTGTGATCCTCGCCCATATTGTAAAATTGGCAAGACGAGATTATAAGTTATCGATCATGTTTATCAATTGTCTTTTACAGTTACTACCAATGCTACTTCTGGAAGAATGAAACAAAATGAGTAACAGTAGATTTCAAAAGATTATAGAAATCAAGATTTTTAGAAGCTCCAAAACGGTTTAAAGACTTCACAAAATATCATCAAACTTCGCAGGACTTCAGAAGTCAACAAGAGTTTAGAAGTTACATCAAGCTACTTCAACATCTCTACTGTTACCTTTTGTAGATGGACACCTACAGTCAATATCAACTTAGCTAACAATTTGTCTTGTTCACTAAAATATTTTAAGACAGCGTAAGATTTTTGGAAATATGCTTCCCGCACTGCAGATGTCCATAGAAAAAACTATTAATCTGATTCCTCTGGGATTAATATGTGAAACACGTTGCAGAGTCAGGGGCCCAATTCTGCAGCAAAAAATAGTTGAATTAGTAGTAATTGATTTATAAGTCGCGACTAATAATCATCGTGTGGAGTTGATCATTATTTTTCTGGCTAGAATGAACATTTATGCATCGATCCAAGTGTATTTGATCATATAGTGGGTAGTCTCTGTTTCGTATGAGGAATAACAACACGAGAAGCGTCGAATTTTATTCAATTTTCCAACTGTTCCAAATTTTTCCGTTGAGAGTATTTCTACTTCGAATGCTTTCGTTCATATGTGCTACGTAATGTTTTTCAAAGTAGAACTAGAATTTATGAACAGTACTCTCTTTATATGTGATTGAAAAATAAAACATTTGGTCCCTCTCGCATCAGTGCATGTATTCGTGCTATTCTGAATATAGGTGAAGGGCACCTTTTCTATAATCTTGTTCACGAAATCGAGTTTTACTCTGAAAAACATTGCGTCGGATATGTGAATTGGAGCATTAGAAGTAAAAAATGCTCTCAACGACATAATTTGAAACAGTTGAAAAATTGAATAAAATGCGACGGTTCTCGTGTTGTTATAGCTTAATACAAGACAGAGACTGCTCACTATATGATCAAATACACTTGATTCAGTGGTAGAATGTTCACTGTATCCAGAAAAAATAATGATCAACTTCACACGATGATTATTAGCAACGACGTATTAATCAATTACTACTAATTCGAGTTTTTTCCAGTATAACTAGGACCATTGACTCTAGCTTTTTTGTTTTATCACGGGGAGATTATTTTGTTCAATGTGTTTTAGAATAAATTTCTTCATCTATTTTTGCTTAATC